ATAGTGCTTGAATATTCAGTATATTCATGATAATCTTACTAAAAATCGTTAACTCAAAATTAAACCTTATATGCAAGCACATAATACAAAAAGGATGTAAAGGAAAACAAAGTTAAAGCAAGATGGAAAATGGTAAAGAACTGGTTTCATGATAAGGACCCATATCTATTTTAAATGTAAATATTCTATATTTAACACTTAAGTGTGGGCTATATTTATAAAGACAATGAAATTTTTCCATATTTATGTTTTGGAGTCTCTAAGTATCTGTTAGTTTAGGTCAAATTAATATTTTTTAGATCAAATTTACTCCAACTTATATTCATTTTGTAAGAGCTTTGCAGACAGGCCTAAACTGTCATATAGAAAAGACAGCTTGGTAAGTATTGGACAAAACTTGCAAACACTAATCTTTGCATTCCCAAAGCACCTCATGTATTTCCGGTACATAGTAAGTCTTCCATAAGTATTCTCCAATTTATTGTGTCCAGTTGCTAAAGGACACTGGTCTATGCCTTGTATATATCCTTTTCTTTCTTTCTTTTTTATTTGAGATTTTTGCTATAGAGCGTGGGTGCTCACCAGAGACATAGAGAAAGACAGAGAGACAGAAAGTGGGGGGCAAGGGGGATGGCTATGCCACAATTCCTTCTCCAATCTCCTCTCGGGATTTTGGGCACGCATGTACATGCACCCAGCATGAGCTTTAAGCCGCTGGGTTCAGGACTTGAACTGTGGTCAACTGCATGGGAATCCAGTGACGTAACCATTATGACATCCGCTGGGCCCTGCATTCTTTTCAATGCCCAGACCACTGCCCCTTTAGCATAGTGTATGTGGTTCTGAGCTGGAAACATCTGGAAATAGGGGAACACTCTACTGGATGTTCCAGTGCAGTGGAGGACAGGCCTGCAGAATGAAAAACTGTCCCTTCCCAAATGTCAATAGTGACCATGCAAACTTTAAAACCACTGAAGTACCCGAACTCTACCACACACATGACTTTAAACAGAGCGTTTAGTTAGTTCATGCTCTGTGCCTATGTGGTTTGCATGACCACATCTTCCTGCTCTTTAACTGAAAACAGGGCACTGCACAGAGGCCACTGATATTCTGAGCTTCTACAGTGCACAGACCTCGTTGCCACAGCAACTTGACAGTAAAGGCTGAGCAAATAGGAAAGAAAGTGCCTAGCTGGACTCCAAGCTCCAATTGCTAGGCTGAATTATGCAGTTGCCAGTAGCAAGACAGAAATTACATTTCTGAGTAATAATAGATCTTAGAGCAGTGAACATGAGTCCTTGAAAAAGTAGTTGCTCTGTGCTACAGGGTAAGCTTCCCATTTTTATTACAGTTCTTATTTGTCTGCACGTAGATGTAGACCAAACAGATTCTTCCTCCACACCTCACAATAAAGGAAGATGAAATGAAACAGATACATTAGAAGGTAATTTAAAATTTCCAGCTGGGGTCTTCACTCCTACCTGCCCCTTATTTGAGTCATCTTTTATTGATCTCCTACCATATAAGACAAATCTAACAAGACTTTTTTTTTTTTTTTGGAGAGGTTTTTGCTATAGGGCGCTTGCGCTCGCCAGACAGACAGAGACATAGAGACAGAAAGCGAGAAATCAACCCCCAGGGGGGATGGTCACGCCACAATCCCTTCTCCTCCATTCTCCTCTCGGGATCTTGGGCATGCACGCACACGCGCCCGGCGTGAGTTCTAAGCCACCGGGTCCAGGAAGTGAACCACGGTCGACTACGTGGGAGTCCAGCAACATAGCCATTACACTAACTGCTGGTTCCCTAACAAGACTATTTTTGAACTGAAAATTTGAACCCTGATCTTGCAAAGTTTGTTTTGATTTGGGAATTTGTTTATATAAAAACATATTAGAGATAGACATGACATTATGATTGAGTACAGAGTTCATTTATTTATTTCTAATAAGTTTTTACTGAGTATCTACTATGCCCCAGATTATGGAAATATAGTTCTGAACAAAACAGATATAATATTCTACCCTCAGTAAGATTACCTTTAAGGGATGAAGGATACATATATTAAATGATATACTAGGTTATCAGAAAAGTCATGTTGCATTTTTCTATGCAAAAATACACCATGCCTTTCCCTCTGACCCAATATATGGTATATTAAAAGTTGACATGTGTGGTGGAGAAAAATAAGGCATAGAAGAGGTAGTGCATTGCTACTTTAAATAGGGTGGTCAGCAAAGGGCTCACCGAGGTGACATCTGAGCAAAGACTTGAAGAAGGTGAGGGATGAGTCACATGGTGTCAGGCAATGGGAAGAGTAGAGCAAAGAGCCTAAGAAGGGAGTGTGCTGAGCACATGCAGGAATAATCAGGAGGTCAGTGTTGCTGGAGTAGGATGAGGTGAATGAGGGAAGGGGCATGAATGGAATCAATGTGGGGATGGAATCTTTTTTTTGAGAGAGAGGGTTTTTTTGCTATAGGTTGCATGCGCTCGCCAGACAGAGAGAGAGAGAGAGAGATAGAAAGCGAGAAATCACCCCCCCAGGGGTGACGACCACGCCGCAATCCCTTCTCCTCTCGAAATCTTGGGCACGCACACACACGCGCCTGGCATGAGTTTAAGCTACCGGGTCAGGACTCGAACCGTGGTCGACCACGTGGGAGTCCAGTGACATAGCTATTAAACTAACAGCTGGTCCCATTGTGGGGATGGAATCTTGAGGGCTGAGTCAATCACTACGCAGACTAAGGCTTTTACTCTGAGTTGAATGAGAAACACCTGCAAAGTTTGGAGCAGAGAATCAACACAATCTGCCTTAAGTTTTGTTTTTTGTTTTTTTAAAAGGTTTGTACTTAGGGAGTGTGTGCTCACTGGAGAGAGAGGGAGAGAAACAGCGAAAAGGAAAATGAGAAATCATCCTCTGGGAGATGGCCACACAGCAATATCCTCTCTTCTCCTGATGCTCCTGGATTTTGCACGCATGCACGCGGGCACACGCACACACGCACACACTCTCCCAGAGTGTTTTCAAGCCCCCAGGTCCAGGATTCAAACTGCAGTAGACCATGTGGGAGTCCAGTGACATAAGTGCTACACCATCTGCTGTCCCCCCCCACCTTAAGTTTTTTTTGAGAGGTTTTCACTATAGGGCGTGTGCGCTAGCCAGACAGACAGAGAGAGAGACAGAGAGACAGAAAGCGAGAAATCACCCCCCAGGGGGATGGCCACGCTGCAATCCCTTCTCGGGATCTTGGGCAGGCACTCACGCGCCTGGCGTGAGTTTTAAGCCACCGGGTCCAGGACACGAACCGTGGTCAACTACATGGGAGTCCAGCGACATAGCCATTACGCTAACTGCTGGTCCCAGCCACCTTAAGTTTTTAAAGGAGCTCTGGCTGCTTTATTGAGAATGGAGGGTAGGAGGCAAGATTAGACACAGGTCACCTGTTATGACACTTATGTAATGGGTCAGGCAAGAGATGATGACTTTGACTAAAATGGGCAAAGTTAGTGAGTAAAATTACTTGCAAGTGTTTTAAGTCCCATAAAATTAGGATGTATTGAATTACCGGTATACCTAATATGCCTCAGGCCCAACTTCATCACTCTTTGACTATTTCAGTGAAGCAGATATTGAGGTCTTCCCTTTATTAAAAGATGAAGGCCATTCAACTGAGAGAGCTTTATCTACCTCTCTTGCCTTCACCTCAGTATCTCTGTAGCTTTTTCATCGCCTTTGTGTTCTGTAAAGGTTGAAATTTAACTGTGAGCCTGAAAGAGGGAATGAGGACCTGTCAGACAGATTAGTCTACATGAGAGATACTGAGGGCCACAGAAACAAGAGAAGCTAATGTGTTCCACACGTATTTAACATGTAAATTAGCCTGAATACAGATGTCTACCAGCTAGAAGCAGTTAAGAAGGTGAGAGCTGAAGATGACCACGTTTTTAGTGTAAGTGGCAGCAAGCAGGATGATGCTGTAACTGAAATGACTGCATTGACATGAAAAGACCTAACTGGATAATGGAGGATGTGTTCTGTGCTAGAAATGCTGCATCTGGAATGTTTCTGGAATATTCGCATGGAGATAACTAAGCTGCAGTTTCAAACACAGCTTGAAGCACAGAGAATAAATTGGGGTTAAAGGTAAATAGGGCTAAAGGTAAATGCAGTATCACTTCATCATTTCAACTGTAGTCTTTCACAGTTCATCACTTCTGTGAACTGTGAAAGACTACAGTTCTATCACTGCTTTTATGGCACCATTTCCCAGGCTGGAAGGGTTCTAAGTACAGTTGTCTCCTTAATCTAGGACTGACAAATAATTACTCAGGCATCTGACCTCAGAATGATTCATCAACTCAGAAAGAGAAAGGCATCAGACAACTAAGATTATTGATCATCTTCTGCCTGAAATTTTCTAAAAACGAAGAGTTGCCAAACATCAATGGAATGCAATGCCTTCTAACGTGAGCTGTAGGAAACCCTAGCTAACTTTAGAATTCCCTTTTTTTTTTTTTTTTTTTTTTGGTGGTGGTGGTTTTGGTGACCTTTGGGGAATAATCTGAGATCTGGATCTTTTTTCAATGTTGTAAAGTTAGCTTTTTGTTTTGGAAAGAAGTTTGTTTTGAAATTTCTTCACATGTATACTTGAGCTCCAAGGCCAAGTAGTAAGCTCCACTTAGATACCCTGCTCCCAGTGACTCCACACTCTCTTCTCTTCACTCACTTACTTCACTCTCATCTCCAGACAATAGAAGTCACTTCCTCTGTATCTTTCTCCTCTGTTCATTTTCTGATTTCATAGACCCATACCTTATATTATTCACAAATACCTACTCTGTGGCATCATTTTTTTAAACAATACTTCCTTCTTTTGTTTATGTTTTCCATGAACAAGACAGAAAAAGAGAGAAAAAATGCACCCTTAACAGGATCTCAATGCTATTATCCACCCCAATCTTCAGACAGTCCTGGATCATAGAAACAAACGTACCGGCATACTTGAAGAGTCTCCAAGTGGGAACCCAGAACCTTCCAATATGGAATTGCCTTGCAGGGCATTATGTTTTACCACTGCACCACCAACCAGCCCATGTGGTATTTCTTAACCATACTCCAGCTTCCAAGTTCTGCTCATTCTAACCCATCTGTGATGCTGCTGACCAGAAAACAGAAAACATGATCATGTTACTTCTCTCTTTAGGTCCTCCAACAGTTCCCAGTAGCCGCATAAAGTCCAGATTACTTAGTTTCACACAATACCGTCATCATGACCTAGTTATTGCCCAGTTCTTCTGTTTCATCTTGCCTGAAATTTATCCTTGGAAAATAAATACCAGGGTTCTCCAAACATGAACTGTTTTCTACCTCTCTATCTTTACACAAATTACTCCTGGTAAGTATTATCTGATCTCTTTCCTAGAGGTCCAGGGAGAATCAACCAATAAAATTTTATCAAAGAGGTCTCTCTGACACAGTAAGAGTGAGTTATGCCTTACATCCTGGCCCTGGCATAGCATCATGTGGTGACAAGCAAAGTCTTCTTCTCTATGTTAAAGTCACCCAGATATTTGTTTCTGCTGACTCCAAGTTCCTTCAAAACAAGGCCATATGTATTAACCAATTATTATATTAACCTAAGACTTTCTAAACCCACTTATGATCTGTAAGTTCCCTCTTCTAGATGTCCTGCCTTTTCTGGGCCAAACCAATGTAAAAATTCCATGTCGATTCGTAGCTTTGCTTGTATCTTGTGCTCTAAGAAAAAGTATAAAAGAACTGTAACCTGCCTTGGAGCAGTTTCTTAAGGCTACTTAAGTTTATGTTTTCCTGAGCCACAGTCACTCAAATTTGCTAAGAATAATCCTCTTCCAATATTTAAGAGTTTGGTTTTTTCCACCAGCACTTCCTACCATCATCCAACACTCATCAATCAAACTTAGCTCTAAGCGCTCTGACACCTTCCCTAACCTAACCAGTCTAAATTAACAATCTCATCCCCACCTCTGTGACTTAATTATCTACATATATTTTTTAGAAGTCTTAGAGGCTACTGGCATTTCAAGACTTAATTCCTCTTCTCTCTCCATTTTCCCCTTATACATATCCTATCTCAGAGTGGCAATGTCCTTAGCTCAGGAGCCAAAGACAGAATCTGGGCTTCACCTCACACTACACATTTGAAACATCACTTTGGATTCATTTTAATTCTCAACAGCTCTAATGCTACCTTAGTTCAGATTCCCATCACTTTCATTTTGGTTTTTGATTTTCCCTGACTCAAGTCTTGCCTGATGATATCTCTTTCTTGCTCATGACTTTGATGGTACTACATCACTTCCTTAGCATGGTCCAATCTTCCTTCCTCACCTGTCCCTGTCCCACCTCTAGTCAATCACCATGGCCTCTCACTTTGCCTCCTAAATATTACTCTTCACATTGCTGCCATTTCCTAATGAGGCTACCATCTCTTGAGGCTACCTATCATCTGGAAAGAGGATTCCCTGGAGTTTGAACCCTTGCTCCCACTTGTGTTCCCAATCCCATGCCTTCAGGACAAAGTTCTAACTCTTTAATACATCCCACAGGCTGCTCCTAACCTGTCATTCCCCATCTGCCTCCTCTCTTCCTCAAACATTTATTCTGGGCCTTCACATAAGGCCACTCTCCTACCTAGAACTTTCTTGCTTATACCTCTCCCTCCAACTAACTTTTCCTTATCCTTCAAGTCTCAGCCTGGATATATATACCCCCTGACATACTCACATTAAAAATTGAACACTAGCCCCCATACCAACCTCCCATAGATAGGAAGTGCTTCTTCTTCAGTCCTGATGTTTCTCTCCAGTGAGGAACTCAGTCTCACTCTAGGCTGATTTTGCTCCCTTTCTTCCCCTGTCCTGTAGAGATGGTTTATCTGACTGGTAAATTTTGAGAGAGTCCCTGAGAAGGAGTAGCCCTTCTTAGACTCCCTTCCTCTTAAGAGCCAGCTGCCCTCAGACAACAACTTCTGCCCTCCATCCGAGGAGCTACGTCTGGCTAATTCACGATGTCCAGTTAACAGACCCAGCTGGCTCATCCTACAAGCCCTAATAAAAAGAAAATTTAGCCTGTGCTTTTACTTAGTTTTCAGACTGCAGAAAAGAGATGCTATTTATTTTTGATCCCCTCCATGACAAGGATACATATTCTAAGAGGCATGGTATTACACCATAATGCCATAAGATTGTAAACTTCCTGAGGGCACAAATCAGCTCTTCTCACCCTCATTTCACTAGTACAATGTCTCCAAAGAGTAAATGTTCTATTCATCATAAATAAAGGAAGCCCACCATTCTCTGCTCCCTAGCAACTTGTCCAGTCTTACTCCATGCACCTCTCTCTGTCCCCAAACTTCATAAGCTCCATGATACATTCCTAGGTTTAGATTATCACTGAAGCCCTGTGAATTCTAATTCCTACTTCAAAAGACAGCTCCAGGGGCCACCTCATCCACTAAGGCTTCCTTACCCCCTCTAGTTTTGTTCTACATGCGTCATAATACAGATGCACATTTTCACAGTCTACTGATACCAGGTGGGTCACTAGAGTTAATTTTCAGACGTGTTCCAAATGTAAACCATAGTAATTTGCCACGCACAGTAACACAGCACACACACTCATTGAAGTAATACATACTGAGTACATGCTTACTTTGTTCTGTTCTAAGCATGAGGACAAAGCAGTGGGGGGGACTAGCAGTTGGCATAATGGTATGTCGCTGGACTTCCATGTAGCTGACCGCGGTTCGATTCCCGGACCTAGTGGCTTAAACTCAAGCTGGGCGCGTGTGCGTGCGTGCCCAAGATCCTGAGAGGAGAATGGAGGAGAAGGGATTGCGGTGTGGCCATCCCCCCTGGGGGGTGATTTCTTGCTTTCTGTCTCTCTCTGTCTTTCTGGTGAGCACATGCACCCTATAGCAAAAACCTCTCCAAAAAAAAAAAAAAAGAGTGTGTGTGTGTGGGGGGGGAGAAACAAGTGAAAAATCCTTGTTTCCATGAAGTTTATAATCTATAGAACACATCTCATGCTTTCCAGATAGAAAAAGAAAAAAATAATAAAAATTTTTAAAAATCCAGCTTGCTTTCCACTTCTTCTTGACCATATTCAGTGTCAGAAGATAATGAAACAATGTTGGCTAAATTCTAAGGGGAAAAAAAAATAACACATCCTAGTAAAATGTATGCCTATCCATCCTCAATTGGTGTTCACCATATGTTAACCTTAAATATTCCTGGATGGCCAGTTTGAGGTAATATGTTACTTTGTTTTTTCCATTATTCATATCACTTGAATTAATATTGGTCTGGAGTCATTTTTTTTCTAAATATTACTCTTGATAAAAACAAAAAAAAAGGAAGAATACGAGTGTATATCAAAGAATAAACCTATAAAAGGAATAATGGTCCATTTTTAAGCTTTCACAAAGTAAACATAACTTCACTACCATGAGATAAATTCTGGTATTTCCTATTCTACTCCAATTTATTTTTGTATGGTTATTGGGTTGTCAGAAAAGCCACAACATAGTTTTTCTATGCAAAAATGCATCACGGGTTTTCTGACAACATAATATTTTGCTTTACTAAATTGACCTCAAGGCCCACTTACGAGTGAGTTTCCATAGTTTAAAAACCATACATGAGATCATTAGCACATTGAAGGGAGCACATTTTCTTTTTTTTTTTTGGAGAGATTTTCACTGTAGGGCCCGTGCGCTCGCCAGACAGACAGAGAGAGACATAGAGACAGAATCACCCCCCAGGGGGTATGGTCACGCCGCAATCCCTTCTCCTCCATTCTCCTCTCGGGATCTTGGGCACGCACACACACGCGCCCGCCGTGAGTTTTAAGCCACCGGGTCCGGGACACGAACCATGGTCGACTACGTGGGAGTCCAGCGACATAGCCATTACGCTAACTGCTGGTTCCCATGGGAGCACATTTTCAAGCATGGATTTCTAAGGAATGCCCAACACCTGGGGAGCACTTCCTGATAAACACACTTGAGCAACTAAACATTTTCTTATGAGAGCAGGATTCATATTTTTTTTTCATCTTTGCATCCCCAGGACATAGCACAGGGCCAGGCACAGCGCCAGTCCTCAATAAGTGTTTATTGAATTGAACTGAGGCCTGCTAGCTAACAGTGCATTTTAATATAGCACTTCACAAGTAGGTTTTATGACAAATGAAACATTTCTCTTGGTTCTTGTAGCAAAATATGCAAATTAGGGGTTTTAATTGTAACAATTTGTATTTCCCCACAAAAACATGATGTTCCCTGGAACAACCTCCCACTTCACAGATGTTAGGACTTTTCTGCTCCCAGGAAGTCAAACCAGAGCCTCCAAGTACCCCAAAGGGGACAAAACACACTAACAGGTGCCTGTCTTGCTTCTAAACTTCAATTCTCAAAATTTCCATTTGTCTTAAACAAAGGAATTTCAAAACTGTCAGATTAGAATTAATTTTTAAATGAGCTCATTTTCTCCCTCTCAAACCGTATTGTCCAGTGGAGTCAGAAGATCTGGGATATGGTCTGTGTGACCTCATGACTATAATCCTAATGATTTGTGCTTAAAAAAATAAAATTCTCTGAGGACTTTTCTACCTCGCAGAGTTGTAGGTTTCAAATGAGAGCATTTTCTGACAAGGAGTTAGAAAATACAGGTTTCTTTCACAATATCTATAACCTGGTCTTTATAGGAAGAGAAAATAGTATCAACAAAAACTTCACCATGAACTAATCTCACTTTTTAAAAGAAAGTGATCTGGGAACCAGCAGTTAGCGTAATGGCTATGTCGCTGGACTCCCACGTAGTCGACCGTGGTTCACGTCCTGGACCCGGTGGCTTAAAACTCACGCCGGGCGCGTGTGCGTGCATGCCCAGGATCCTGAGGGGAGAATGGAGGAGAAGGGATTGTGGCGTGACCATCCTCCCTGGGGGGTGATTTCTCGCTTTCTGTCTCTCTGTCTCTCTCTGTCTGTCTGGCGAGCGCACAAGCCCTATAGTGAAAACCTCTCTAAAAAAGAAAAAAAAAAAAGAAAAAAAGAAAGTAATCTTACTTGACAGACTCAGTCCCAGCCCTCTGGGTTCACACTTGGAATATGCTTCCCAGAAACCATGGCTCTCCTTCCTATCAAACTGAAAGAGTTTAACCGCTGGCAGATTACTATTTCTACTTGTCTAAAGAAATTCAGCTTTTTAGTTTAGTTCGCTTATTAAAATTTCTAGATTTAATTTAGGGGGGCCCATCTCATACATAATGCAGCTTCTTCTTAATTTTATTTCTCTTTCTTCACCTTCCTGGCTGTTTCGAGTTTGTATCTTATTTTAATCTGCATTCGGTGGAGAGATATTCGCATACACAAACACAAAAACCAGACCTAGGGGGAGATGGAGCTAGCCAGAACAATGAACCTCTCAGCTTTTGCTCCAAGAAAGGGAATCTATATAGGCAGTTTAAGTTTAGTTTCTGTTTCACTTTTATGTGAATTCGTTTGCACGAATGTTTAAGTCCATAACTAACACATACATGGTTTTCCTCGTTAAAAAAAAAAATTAAATAAGGCCAAGACTCCTTCCCTCCCAGGCCCTCTCCCCCTCCCCGTCCTTCTCTCACTTCTCAGGGGGCAGGTACCTGCTGCACCCTTCCCTGCCTCCATCTACCCGTTCGTTCACAACTTCAAAACTTGCAGGGATGTGAAAACTTCCGTAAGTAAATATTTACATGCCCTCCCAATCCGCCTACACACCCCAGGACTTCATCAGGGAGCGGAGTGTGAGCCCCGCACCCAGCTCCCGGTGTAGGCCCGTCCCGGGACATCTGGCCCTGCGTCCCGGGATACTCGTCCTTGCCCCGCGCCGCTGCCTGGGCGCTCCTGCGGAACGAGCCAAACCCACTGCCCCTCCAGCGCCGCCTTACCCTCCAAGGACTGAGGCCACAGGGTAGCTGAGACCCCCGAGCAAAGAACCCACGAGCCAGCAACGCCATGTTGGGCCTTCGGAACTTCCACCGGAGGGCAGCGGTGCGAGGGGCGTGGTGGGCAGAAAAAAAGAGCCAGGAGCTGGGCTGGCTGGGCGGCCCAGGTTCCGCCCAGAATGCCTCCTCGCTCGGCCACTCCGGTGCTTTTCCCTGCTCTCCCTCCCCTTGGCCCAGTGTTTTGTAGGGCAGAGGTAGCGGGTTTCGGTGTCCTTGTGTTTTGATGAACCCGGCGCCCTACAAGGGTTTGCAGGTTATAGAAACACGCGACCTACACCCGCTGTCCTCCGCCCCAAGTGACCTTTTCAGAATTCATGTTTATTTCATAAGTGCGTGTTTAATTTCGGGTCACTGTGGCGCTAAATCACATAATATCAGAATAATATACACTACCCTGGATTTAAAACACGGTCTTTCTTTTGCTGAAGGAAGCGTTTGAAATCAAACAACCAAGGGCAGTTTCAGGCAGCCTTGACTTTTCGCAGCACACACTGCCCCCTGTCGCTGAGATGCGGCGTGGCTCCCACGGTCTAGTCCTAGCTCGGCTCTCAAAGGGATGAATGCACATGTGAAAAGCATATGTAGACCTTCCCTACATGATTCATCCGCCTCGGTGTAACATACCTGTTGACACAGTACATTAGCTCAGACCACATTTCTTTCTTCACTTGTAAAATGTGAATATTCGTACCCAATTCAGAATTATTGTGAAAATAAAGAAGATGCATGTGACGCTCCAAGTTCAGGCTGACGGTAGGTGACATCGTGAATTTCTCATGTGCTTGGCATTTCCCAAGTGCTAAGAAAAAGAAGGAAAGAAAAAAAAGGAAGGAAGAAAAGGAGGGTGGAAGAAGAAGCGGCTGTCCCTGGTGTACAGAACCTGGCCTGAGACTCACCTTGGTCAGCTATATTAATCTTTTTTTGCTATACCAATGTCCACTATGTTTCATTCTAGTAGAAATGACTTTATCATACTCAAAGGTCCCACCCTGGAACAACATGAAGGGATTAGTTTTCACTTAACACCTTTACAGCACACTCAAGTTTTAACACATCAATTTCTGGGAAACATCCAAATCATAGCAACACATTTTAAAACAACCTCACCTGAGGGATGCAGAAGCTGAAGTCTTGGCATTATCAACTCCCATGCCAGAGGTCAGGGCTGCTGAGGTGGCGAATCCCCTGTACTTCTGGCCTGTGAGCTTGATTTAAGGAAAGACCTCAAGAACAGAGGTGCAGACACTGTTGCTTCCTGCCATTCTTCCGAGCCTCCTTAACTCTCTACTTTTATGAGGTCTTTTTATCGCCCAGTTTCCAACATGTGAGTGAGAACACGTGGTATTTTTCTTTTTGTAACTAAGCAGATGGAATTTTCTTCTTTTTAATGGCTGAATAGTATTCCATTGTGTATGTATACATTGTTTTCATCCATTTTTATGTTGGTGGTCACTTAGGTTGATTCCATATCTTGACAATAGTGAATAACGCTGCAATAAACATTGAGGTGGGTAGGGACATGTTTGGAGAGAGGCCGTGAGAATGTGGGGATATGCTCTGAGCAAATATCACCTGTCCCTTTTGGCTATGACAGAACCTTGCAACTTATCCTTTCCTTTACCCTTACTGCAAGCAGAACAAAGGGTGGAATTTTCTAGGGGCCTTCCAACAGAATTCTTCCAACAGAATTCTATCTTCCTGATAGAATTCAGGAAACATGCTGACCCCAATTAGCAGAGTCCAAACCCTGCTCTGCTTCTGTAAGACTCTTTAGCTTTATCAACACCCCTTTGATGTTGGCAAGGAAAAGTATCCTCCCCACACCTACAGGTAGGTTTCTCTTCACTAGATAAGAAGTTCATTGGGATTTCTCTTTGATATGGAAGTAGCCAAGAGATATACCTGACCCAGTACGTCTAAATTATTATAAATTTGTTACCTGCTTCTAATTGTCTGTAACATATCAATTTATCTATGGAATGTCATGAAATACACGTATGTAGTTTTGCTCCGCCCTATAAGTAAAGGCGCCCAGTTTGTCTGGGTGGCACAAGTTGCTTGGGCTGCTTAGGCTTAAGCTACCTGTGTCCATTGCTACTCTGTCTCTTTGTCTCTTTCTTTCTGCTTCCTCTTATATCGAGCTAAGTACAGGGCAGACTCTGATAGAGGTGCAAATATCTTTACAACGTACTGATTTCCTTTCCTTTACATCAATGCCTAGTAGTGGGAATGCAGATAATATGACAATTCTAGTTCTAGTTTTTGAAGGAACTGCCATACTGTCTTCCATAATGACAGAGTTACATTTCTATCGACAGCATAAAATATTTCCCCTTTCTCCACATCTGCCAGTATATGTCATTTTTTGTCTTTTTGATAATAACCATTCTAACTGGAGTAAGATGATATTTCATTGTGGTTTTGATTTCCATTTCACTGTCAATGATGTTGAGCATTTTTCAGAGGATTACTTACCATTTGTGTGTCTTGTTTAGCTCATTTACCCCTTTTTAATTGGGGTATTTGGGTTTGGGTCTTTTTTTTTCTTCTGGCTGCTGAGTTGTTTGAGTTTCTCATGTAGTCTGGTGGTTAACTCTTTGTTCAGATTATAGTTTGCAAAGACTTTCCCCCATTCTGTGATTTGTCTTTTTACTCTGTTGATTGTTGCCTTTGCTCTGCTGAAGATTTTTACTTTGATATAATCTCATTTGTCTATTTTTGCTTTTGTTGCCTGTGCTGGTTGAGGTTTTATCCAAAATCTTTTTGCCATACCAATGTCCAAAAGTGTTTCTCCTCTATGTTTCCTTCTAGTAGTTTCAGTTTCAGGTTTTGTATTTATGTCTTCAATCCATTTTGAGTTGATTTTGTATAGGGTGTGAGAGACGGATCTAGTTTCATTCTGCAAATAGCTACCTAGTTTCCCTAGCATCACTTTTTGAAGAGATTGTCTTTTCCCCATTGGATATTCTTGATACTTTTGTTGAAAATCAGCTGACTGTATATACATGGATTGGATTTTTTTTTTTGAGAGAGAGATATTTTGCTATAGGGCATGTGCATTTGCTGGAGAGACAGAGAGACAGAAAGCGAGAAATCAACCCCTAGGGAGGATGGCCATGCCACAATCCCTTCTCCCCATTGTCCTCTCAGGATTTGGGGGACACACACGCACATGCTCAGTGTGAGTTTTAAGCCGCCAGATCTGGACTTGAACTATGGTCAACTACATGGGAGTATAGCAACATAACTGCTATATCATCTGCTGGTCCCTATACATGGATTTATTTCTGGGTTCTTTGCTCTGCATTATTGGTCTATATGTCTGGTTTTGTTTTTGTGTTTTGTTTTTGTTTGGTTTTTGCCAGTACCATGTTGTTTGGTAATTATAGTCTAAGCAACAGCTATTTTACCACTGCTGTTAAGATATCTTTTGCAAATTTTACTGAACAATAAATGGCCCTGGGGGTGCTCTCCCTTCTGGATTTTGATTAGTGTTCACTCTCTGGACTATACGTCGTAAGAATTGCCAAAGAGCAGTGCTCCAAAGACTCAAAGTCTGGAGCTAAATGGATCAAAGGAAAGCTGCACAGAGGAGCAGACAGCCTGATTATTTTGTTCTTGTCACGATTATGCTACTAATTGTCTTCTGTTGTTAACCAAATACACTTTCATTGGCTTTATTTTACTCATCCATAAAATTAGGGCATTGGTGTAGATTATAAATAAGATCACTTGTAGTTTTAAAAATCTGTGATTTTACAAATAAGCTAGATTTGTCAGAATTTTATAGGCCAGCTGGTGTGGTATTAAGGAGGTCATTATGAAATGCTGTTAAGATAAAATAACTGATGGAAACGTCTATTTTTAGGATATTGAGTCTCATGTATCTCTGATGTTTGACCACTTCACCTAATTTACACATTTTAGATGATTATTAAGCTTTCACGTTTTCAGATTTTCAAAGGCTTTGCAGTAATTAATCAGCTTCTTGAATGACTTTTGCAAAGGAAGCTTACCCCTAATCCCATTACATAGGCTTGTTCTCATTCTGTAAAGTCAAGTCTTAACACTTTGCAATTTGGGTCTTACATTCTTCTATCTTTCAATTAAAAAGAAATGATAAGTTATGGTCCAAGAGCCTATTTGATTCAAAGTAATTCACTGAGGTGTCAATTATTTTTACTAATATGCACAGATAAACCCTATATATATGTTAAGTTAAACTATTTTGTCCTAAAATGGCTGCTGTACTCCCACACTTGGATTCCTACTGATAAGCCTAAATAGTTTGTGGTAAGCTGTTTTTCTAAGATGGTTGCTAGTTTACAGTCAATCACAGCAGCTAGGCTCTAGTCAATCATAGGCACCCCACCTTTTAAATCATGTTAATGCAGACAAACTTCAGAATGTAAGCAAAGATTTCTCTACCTCACTCCCTCACTTACTTTTCTGATACAACATTTTCCCATTTCCTACATATATCACTTTCCTGTTCTACCGGCTTAAATACCTAGTTGACCACCCCAGAAGTTCAGGGACAACTGCCCAATTTAAATCATGTTAACATTTGCTCAATAAAACTCTATTCAATTGGTTTATTTTTCTTTTAACATATATTATTGCATAAAGATGAAACAAGTAAAACATTATTTATTTTGGTCAAATTAAAGATTATTATAGTAAAATCTACGTAGTGAAATAGAATTAGGGTCAGGATACAAAAATAGAACTCATTGTTCTTACTATTTGATAATTTTCAGAATCATAAAGATTCTTCAGTCAACACTTGCTGTCCATATGCTTCTCCTTTCCCTATACCTCACCAACCTTTACAGTTCCAACTTAAAAAAAAGTTTGGAAAGGGGCTGACAGAAGGTCAATTAATAGGTAAGGTCCATAGTTATGAGCCTACCATGTATCCATCACTATGGTAGAGATACAAAAGTGAAGAGAGAGAGAGAGAGAGATACAAAAGTGATTTAAACAGTAGGAACACAAAAAAGCCCCTACCCTCAAGGGACTAGAAAAGAAGAAAAGAAAACTGATCTTTGTTTAACAGCTACCATGTGTA